TCTCTCTCTCTCTCTCTCTGTCTCTGTCTCTGTCTCTGTCTCTGTCTCTGTCTCTTCCTCACTCTCTCTCTCTCTCTCTCTGTCTCTCTCTGACTCTCTTCCTGCGCTGCCTCCATCCGGCACAATTACCCATGGCTAATTTCACATCTGTCCTGAATAGTAAAATGTCACTGGATATACAAACGCCCCACGTGCTTCACTTCTGAAAGAAGCATTCTCCCTCCAGTGATCACACGAGATGCTCCACTCGCCTGCTGTTTATGTTGTTTGCCTCCCAACAGAAAGCAGTGATTATTTTCTGGCTGCCTCTCATATTCTGAGCCCTGTAATTTTCATCACTCAGCGCTGCACTTCATTCAAATGATGATCCACTTAATGTTTGGAAATCCAAATGAATGATAGCTTAACCTCAATCCTTGAATTAAAAAATGAGTTTTTTTTACTCCATTTTCTTTATGGAGATATTTAAAGGGTGGTGCCGCGGTTATTAATAGATCAAGTATTCTTTGCAAAAAATGTCTTTTTAATTCGCAGAAATGGAAAATCCCCAGAGATGAATTAAGATGCAGAAATATTACCAAGGTATACTGTGTTTGTACAAGGCTGGAAATCCCTGAAAAGTTTTTGAAATGTGTTTGAATTTTGAATATAGAGTTTGAAACTGTAATTGTCACCCTTCTGTTGAATGCTTTTACAAAACATAATATTGGACTATTATGGCGCATTTCCACTGCAGGGCCTCGCACGGCTTAGTACGGTATAGCTAGGCCTTGGTAGGCCAGGCTCACTTTATGCTGCGTTTCCATTACAGTTTAGGAACTGGGGCAGTAACTATAGTAACGCAGTGTAGGCGGAGCCGTGACGTCATCTTCAATGTGAAACACAAAACCAACATCAGCCGTTAGCTGTTAGCACTCAGAGCTCACAGCTCCTCATATCTGTTCAGAAACTAGACAAAAGTTAAACAAGTACAAACCACAGACTGCCTGTGTCATGGTGAATACAGTCGCTGCTTTATTTATGTCTGTATAGGCCGTTGTTGTGAGTGTGGACGGTCGGAGCATATACTGCGTTAGCTTAGCCAATCTCCATTTAGAAAACACGCATTTTAAAAGGTTTTTCCCCTGCCGTCTGTCTGCAGACTTGTCAAAGCATTTAATTCATGGTTTTTACTAACCGGTATCAGTATGTTGTTACTTCGGCATCATTTTGAAACGTGTATTACAATTAAATCACGGTCAAATATGTTCATTTTGTTGTAGTTGCCAGCGATTCTCTCACTAGTTTAGCATACTCAGCCCGGTTGTTGGCCCGGAAAGAACCTCGATTTTGGAGAGCCAGAAAACTATGAAAAAGTACCCGTTAGCCGGAACTACGCCTAGTGGAAACGCAACCAAAAACGGGCCGGGCACGCTTAAACCGCGCTCCGCGCTGTAGTGGAAATGCGCCATATAGCACAATGACATCTGAAGTTGAAGATGTAAAAGTCATAACGCACAATTTATACGATATAAATATGTATTTTACCACAACCAAAATGTGCTGTAAAAACCTCTGAAAAAAAATGCTTTAATTTGTCTGTGGAAAAGGTCTAGGAACCCTGAACACATATATTAGCCGTTTGTAATACAAAGCCACGGTTGCACAGAGGTTGCATCAGTAATGTGTTGGTTTAGTCGTGCAAGTGGTAATTAATCATGTAAAGTAAAGCAGCATTTTGATAAATCCTGATTTGTGTCCCTCTCAGCCTGCGTGGCAGTGGGAAGATCTGGTCCAAGTCCAACTGAAGACTGAGAAGTGGAGACAAGGCACTGATGGACACTCACTGATTCACGGACACATGTTGACGGACAAACAGATGATCAAAGACACCTTTTACACTCTGCACAATAAAACCAGGAAGCTTCATGGGAACCTTTTTTCTCTCCTCTTGTCACCAAGTGTCACCACGACGGATTTAGAAACACACACCGGCTGATGGAAGATGACAGGTGTGACATCCACTGTGCTGTTTCTAATAGCCTAATTGGCTAGTGCAAACACACACATATACACATATACACACACACACACACACTTGTAACACATGATAAAACGACAGAATGCTGCAGGAGTCCGTTGCCTTTGACCAGAAACAGGATCAGTGTATGTGCGTATTGGTTTAATAATGTTCCTTTTTGATTTAGATTCATTCTATGTTGTTCTGTAATTTTTTTTCTTTCTTCTCTCTGTATAAAATCAGAATATAAATTGTTTGGGAAATAAAGCGAAGCCGTGTACTTACCCTGCCCGTCTCATTAATGTCACTGTCGGTTCTTTTATTACATGCACTTCAAAGTGCATCTCTGGAGGGTGCACAGCTAAATGCTAACTCGCAGAAGGGGGGCTACCGTTAGGAGGTCAAGCCATTAATTAGGGCACGTCCCTAAAGAGACTAATGTATTATAGAGCTGAGGCTTCCCCTGTGCGCAACCAGCATGGATACACACACACACACACACCCCCCAAGCGCATTCATATTTGATGTGCGTATGTTTTGCCCAGAGCTTTTATTTCAATGTCAAAAAATTGCTTGTTGAAACTGCCTGAAACCCTCGCTGTTCCTCCTCCTCGCAGAAAGAAACGTCCCTAATCATTCATTACATTACATTCCCCGCCCTTCTCTAAATTCTCTCACCGCTCTTAATCCTGCGTGACATTAATGGTGGCAATTATCTGACCAGCAGCAACAGTGAGGGGGAAATTAAGATCCTGTCTCATTCAACCCTGCATTTCTCTCCACACACCCCTTCCACCTCTATAAATAGTCTTGTTAATTTGAGTCGGTGTGATTGAGCTTCATTGGATCACAGTTTTTTTTTTTTAGCAGAGCTGTGATTTCTAACAGCTGTTCGCCGCGCAGAGTGTTTGTTGGCGAGGAAGTGTGTTTGTTATTGGTGTGAGCGATGACTCGGCAGACCTGAGTTCACACCCAACTTCTGCTTTAGTTTTTTGCCCGCCGCGGTTACGGATTACTGCGGCATCTCGCTGGTATGTGTCTAATAACTAGACGGTCGTTAAAACTTCCGAGTGGAACAAAGCCAATCAATTAGTTTGATTGATCAGTGAAAAGCCCAGAGGAGATGGAGACTGCAGCACACTGGGTGGAGAATCTGGAATACAAACGAGTGGCACTTGTCCCCCGGCGGCCTCGCTGATTGTATTGACATTCGTGTGAAAAACTGTACACAAGAGGAAATTCTTGCTTAGCATCCTGTTAATCTTTCTGAAGTGAGAGGAATCCATACAGGGTGATAAAGAAAAACTTCAGATGCAAGAAGACGTTTTTTGATTCTTCGCCTCCCTTTTCAGCGCCCTGTCACTGCTGATTGGCACATGTAGGACTCCCAATAAAATCAATACAAGTCGGTGGACTAAACGTTTACTTCACGGAGAAAAAGATTAAAAGACAGCGGCAGCTCTTAAAAATTCACAGTGCAATGCTTTGTCCTTCCCACAAAGCATTGCACACCCCAGAGGAATTCACTCAGCATGCACAGAAATAAGCACAAAAGCTAAAACGCCAGTGTTGTGTCTTTATTGAACTTCCATGGTACAGAAAGACCACATTTTCTACAGGAATGCTACTAAAAATCACAAGACTTGATATCTGGAGGATTGCACGCATGATGCCACCAGCACTAATGTGTCTGTAGTGGAAACGTTAAGACGGGTTTCAAAGCTGTTTAGAAAAGTTGCCAAACACAAACTGACATTTGGCTTTGAAAGGCTCTAGAAGACGTTCACTGATAGATAAAATAGACATTTATAAATAATAGATTTGCTGCTACTCTCACGGGGTTTTCTTACTGTATACATGCAGAATCATCGGAGAGACAGAGATGATGTGCCTTGATGTACCACTTTCCTTTGGTGCTCCCAAGACAGTTGATATACGGCGACTTGAAATGTGATATGAGAGGAAATTACGGTGGGTTTTGTTTTTCCAGATTGATATACTTGGCTGTCAGGTGGAGAGAAAAACCATCGTCGTGGTAACATCCGTCCTTTGATCACGCGTACAGTTCACACATGAATCTGTCTTTGTTGTGCGACATCCAAAAAAAACCTTTGGGAATCATTGATTTTCAACGCTTCTGCCTCCTCTATCCACTCTGAATATTTTATCTCCTCCACTGGAAGTACTCGACGCTTAAAACAGCCCTAACACAGTCCAGCAGGAACAGAGGGTGCTCACAAAGAGGTGAACGTCAGCCAGATAATTAAGGAAACAAATCATGAGGAAAGAGCCGAAACAAAAACCGACTCCCGCTACACTACAGAGGGGAACAAATAAAACACACTATTTGCATTTCAGGCGCCCAAAGCGGGGAATAAACAGCAGTTTTTGGAGCGTGACATGTTAAACACATTGCCTGTTGGCTACGGCCCTGCCAAACAGCTTTGTGAAATACCCCATTCAGTGTTTGGAGATGCTGAGAATGGCTTTTTTTTTTTTAACCATTTGCAAACCAGATTCAACTGAATTGAAGTGTCATTTGATGAAAGAACAGTCTGCTGGATTCAAAGGGATACTGGTCGGCTTTACAAGTGCATGTGGGGTCAGCTGTGGAAGCACAGGTAGGACATTTCAGGGGCAATAGGATGTCGAGCGTCTGTTAAACTGATTGTTTGTGAATTAGTCATGGCGGGCCGAGGAGAAGAGCTCAAGGCTATGAAGGGGATGGAAAACAGGTAACAGTGACGCACATGAAAGAACATTTAAACCGTAAAAAGGAGGGAGGGAGCAGCAGGGAGATGAGTTTGGGGTGTTTAGACCTCGGGGAAGTGGAGGAGTTTTGTGAAGGCTGGATACCTGGGACCCCTGAATTCAATTCACAGTTTCAGAGACAATAAAACAGCGCTGCGGGCACACCCTCCGGTCGGATTGATGCTCCTCCTCGGGCCCCGTAGATACCATATGGAGAAGCAGTCACCTCAGAGGTTCACAACTGGGATCCTGACACAGCAAGAGACACAGAAGAAGAAGAGTCAGAGGGAAAGAGAAAAGGAAGGAGGTTTGGGGTTGTTGATGGAGAGGAAAGACAGGAGATGAGAGGGGAAGGGGAGGCCTGAAGCTGAAGGAGCAAACGGAAAAAGCTGCTTCACAGGGGACTGAGAGGAGGAGGAAGATGGAGGAAAGAGCTGATGGGAAGAAGGAAGTGAGGGAGTACAGCTCTATAATTATCCTGATCGAGATTAACTTTAAATACCCTCGAACAGGCACGTGCAGAGGATGTTAGAGGAGCACGGGGCCACATTAATCAAAGGGCAATATGGCGATTATTGTACTTTTATATACATATTTGCCAGGGATAACAACTTTTGTGACGGTTTTCAATAATGTATTTATATCAAACAAACAATGAGGTTGGCTCAAACACTTCTACATGACAGTTACTTAATGATACATGCAAATACATTAGGTATATTTCGGTCTATCTGTGCACGTGCCTGTCAGAGGTCGAAGAAGTACACAGATATTGTAAAAGTACCAGAGTGTAGGAATACTCTGTTACAAGTAAAAGTACCAAAAGTAAAAGTAGTAGTCATTGTGCAGATTGGTCCATTTCAGAATAATATATATGATGTGTTTTATAATGGTTGATCATTAAAGTGTCCTCAAAGCTGGTAGTTTGAATGACTTTGTATACCAACACAGTCTCACGGCATTTCGTGTTATAGTCACGAAATTAATCTATTGATTTGTGTTCACCAACACGATTTCCCCATTTTTTTCGTGTCACACAGAACGATTTTAAAAGCAATGTAAATAATAACAAATTAAAGGAAAAACAGATTTAAAAAAATACAGATTTCAGTATTCTGACACAGAACGATTTTTAGAAGCAATGTATTTACATTGGTAGTTTGTTTCGTGCCTGCACCACATAATAACAAATTAGAAAAAATACAGATTTCAGTATTCTGAGGCTCTGAGACCCATTTCTTTTCCTCGTGGACGGCAACAAATTATACAATTATTACATTACATTATTACATTATACAATTTAAAATAAAAGGGTTAGGCTTAGGGTAAGATATTGAGTAAGAAAATGTTTTTATGAACCCCACAGCTTCCAAGACCCGACTGGACAAAAAGACGTGGTGCAGGCACGAAACACACTACCAATAGAAATACATTGCTTTTAAAATCGTTCTGTGTGACACGAAAATCGTGTTGGTGAACACGAATCAATAGATTAAATTGTGACTATAACACGAAATGCCGTGAGACTGGGTTGGCAGGGTAGCTTGTGAATTTACTCCAGGTGGAACTAAACTCTGATTTAAGAGTTGATTATATTTCACATCATTAATCAAAATCTGTAGAGTAACTAAAGATATTAAATACATGTAGTGGAGTAAAAGTACACAATGTACCTCTGAATTGTAGTGGGGCAGAAGTATAAGATGCAGTTTGGGGTAATAAATACATTATTATATGCTGCCAAACTGGTTGGGTATCTGCCTGTATCAAAGTGTACTACTGTTACCATCAGGGTCCCATAATTTGGTACGGTTAGACCAGAGCACTTTAGTGCAGCGGTCAATCCTAAAATAAATACAGACTTACCTCTGAACTGTGGTAGAGTAGAAGCAAAGTAGGAAAAAGTACAAGTATCTCAAAGTTGTACAGCACTTGAGTAAATGCACTAAGTTACTTTACACCACTGACTTGAAACACCCTCTAATAAAAGCATAATTTCATGGACTTGGCCCCACTATGACTCATCTGGAGTTCAAACACTGATACACCAACACTGCAGGCCTGGTTTCTCCTCAGAGACTCCATCATCAGATCCTTATAAGACATAACAATCCAGAGGTGCACAGACACACACACAGACTCAGCATTACCTCTCCCTGTCGGTGGAGGAGGAGTGCAGCGTCTGCCGGCTGTCCTCTGGAGCCAAGGAGCGGGGGAGAGCCAGGGAGAGCGGGGGGGCAACGCCACGGGAAAGCGGGGGTGGATGCTGGGAACAGCTGCGGTCGTAACTGGGAGAAAGAGGGATAGTGACACAGAAAGATTAGAACATGAGAAAGGAGAGAAATCAGGGGAGATGCGTGGAATAAGAGGGTAGGAGGATGCAGAGGGAAGGGAGGATGCAGAGGGTAGGAGGATGCAGAGGGATGGGAGGATGGGAAAAGGAGAAGATGGGAATTGAGGAGGGGCAGGGATAGAAACAGATGAAAGGACTCAAGGAAAGTTGGAGATTGATAACAGTAAGAGAAGGTTAGGGAGTAGGAAATGATATAATAGAATCCTGTATTGTCATGATACAGGTACAATGAGATGAGTAGAGCTAAGGTGCCTTCAAAAAACAAACAACAGACGTTCAAGATTCAGGAGAAGACAACATACAAACAACAAGCATTCATACTTCAATACGCAGATACAGTTAAAGTGCTGGAATATATCGGTTTAATGTAGAGATGGATGGACTCAAGGAAAGTTGGAGATTGATAACAGTAAGAGAAGGTTAGAGAGTAGGACATGATAGAGAAGGGTGACATTAAGGGAGAAGGACACAGGAGATACAGAGGAATACAAGAGAAAGGAAAGAAGCAGAGAGAAGGATGGGAAAGGAAACATATGGGATTTAAGGAAAAAGGAGGGATAGGAATAGAAACGGAGATGAAAGGTTGGAGTTGTAAGAAGAAAGACAACAGTGACGGAAGATTGGACAGAAGGAAATGATAGAGAAGGGTGACATTAAGGGGAAAAGACAGATAAACACAGAAGGATGGGAGAGGAACAATATTAAGGAGAAAATGTCACGACCTTAACACAAACTGGAGAACCCAAATGCACGACCCAGAGACTTGTTGAATGTAGCAAAACATGTCTTTTTAATTTCAAGAAAACAGAGAATCCCTCTTAACAGAGTAGGTACTGGATTTAACAAAAAGTGTTCACAAGGAGGAAAAAACAAGCGTAACAAAAGGAGAATTTAAGATTAACTTAAGTTTACAAAAATAACAAAACAACAAAACCTGACTAGACTGGAAATGATCCTCTCTTTGTTGAAGCCTGGCACGACCGTCCATGGAAACAAACAAAACGAGCTGACACGGGACAGGGGGAGACAGGACTATTTAAACATGAGGTGAGTGGGAACAGGTGGAAACAATCAGGGGCGGGGCAGAGGTGAGTGGGAACAGGTGGAAACAATCAGGGTGGCGGGGCAGACGCTGACGATGGCGGGAAAAATGGCACCAAGGCTTTTCCCGTTCTAGCTCCGTGCTAGAGCTTTTCTGGTTCGGAACCGGTTCTTTGGTTCAGCTCCCGCTCTGTTCACACCGCTCAGAGCCCGACTGGTGCTGCGTCATTGCGTCATCGTTTGCGTCATGACGTAACCGTTTGCGTGCCTACTTCATAAAGCCAAACCGCGCGGAAACCCCTCACATCGCCAACACAGTCTCACGGCATTTCGTGTTATAGTCACGAAATTAATTTATTGATTCGTGTTCACCAACACGATTTCGCCATTTTTTTCGTGTCACACAGAACAATTTTAAAAGCAATGTAAATAATAACAAATTAGAAGGAAAAAGACACTTAAAAAAATACAGATTTAAGTATTCTGACACAGAACGATTTTAGAAGCAATGTATTTATATTGGTAGTATGTTTCGTGCCTGCACCACATAATAACAAATTAGAAGGAAAAAAAGATGACATAAAATACAGATTTCAGTATTCTGAGGCTCTGAGACATTTATTTTCCTCACTGACGGCAAAAAAACTCAGACATTATACAATTTAACATAAAAGGGATAGGGTTAGGCTTAGGGTAAGATATTGAGTAAGAACATGTTTTTTTGAACCACACAGCTTCTGGTCTTCCAAGACCCGACCGGACAAAAAGACGTGTTGCAGGCACGAAACATACTACCAATAGAAATACATTGCATTTAAAATCGTTCTGTGTGACACGAAAAAAAGGTGAAAATCGTGTTGGTGAACACGAATCAATAGATTAAATTAATTTCGTGACTAATAACACGAAATGCCGTGAGACTGGGTTGCACATCGACAACAACAACAATGACCGATTGTATAGAGAACCGCAGTGACGCGTCCTAAAACCCGGAAGTAAGTTAGCATTTTTACCACGTCCGGTTCCTTCGACAAAAAGCAATGCATTTTCTCCATAGGATTTTGGAAAATAGCTGGAAATAAGGTCTGTGGTTGACACAAATTTAAGAGACGGATCACGTTTTGTTCTACGACATTAAATACATCAGCAGTGACCCCACTGGTGATTTCTGAAGAGTTGACGTGTCTGAGAAACGATGGTTGTTAACAAGTGGCTGAATAGGACTACAGAAGTTGTCGAGGTCGTTTTACGTCATTACACCGAACACCTAAACACTCCCGCTAAGTTTGTTAGCCCTGTTCTGCTTGAAAGCAAGTACCTGCCTCCTGCAAACTGTTAAAACAAACGCTTCAACTCGTACCACTTTTCAATCTGTAGTTTTGAATATGGATCTTAAGTTGGCGTGACGTTGAAGCAGCGACCCTGCTGTAGTTAGTTTATAACATAACGTTAGCATTTTGCTTCTGGCGACTAGATTTATGATTCGACTGAACAAAACGTGATCCGTCTCTTAAATGTGTGTCGACCACAGACCTTATTTCCAGCTATTTTCCAAAATCCTATGGAGAAATTGCATTGCGTTTTTGACGAAGGAACCGGAAGGAGTTTACTTCCGGGTTTTAGGACGCGTCACTGCGGTTCTCTATCGAAGCGCTACTCGTTTTGGTTTTGCTCTGTCGAAACGAAATGGAAGAAATCGGACGACTTTACTACCAACTTTACAGTCGTTACATGCTACATTCAAAAGTTACAATCATCATCATCAACTTCAACGACGATTCCGTAGGAGAAAGAAGGTAAATATACGTCCTATTCGATGGCGTTAGAGCTAGCTGTTGTTAGCCTCTGCATGCGCCAAGCTCAAAATACCCAGCTTTGCAGCATTAACTACTATGGCATAACATTAAAACTGATGCCCCTGCCCCCGCCTCCGACGTAAGCGTGACGTATGCGGTGCTTGCTTTCTAGACAGACAACTTTTTGGTGCTTGAAACAAACCGGATTCCGGAGCTTATACCTCATTCAACGCAACTCCGGTTCTAGCTCCGTGCTAGAGCTTTTCAGGTTCAGAACCGGTTCTTCGGTTTAGCTCCGGCTCTTTTCACACCGCCCAGAGTCCGACTGGTGCTGCGTCATTGCGTCATCGTTTGCGTCATGACGTAACCGTTTGCGTGCCTGCTTCATAAAGCCAAACCGCGCGGAAACCCCTCACAGCTCACACCAACAACAACAATGGCCGATTGTGTTGAAGCGCTACTCGGTCGTCATCTCTTTCTGCAATTGTTGGAGAATTGCTTGGACCGCGTGCTCCCCTCCAGCTTCCTCTGTACCTCTTCGGAAGACCAGATTCCCAGTAGGTAGCTGGTCTCTTCAGTGGACCACTGCTGCTTGTTAAGTTTCTCCATCGTTGTGTACAAAGTGGATAAAACGCGGGCTTTTTGTTGTTGTTCAGGAGTTGATACCGCCCCTGCCCCCGCCTCGACATAAGCGTGACGTATGCGGTGCTTTTGCTCTAACCGGACAATTTTTTGGTGCTTGAAACGAACCGGATTCTGGAGCTAAGAGGCTGCTCGGCTGCGGTGTGAACAGGAAAAACTGTGCTTTTCAAGCTCCAGCTACGAACCGGCCCTGGAACCGCGTTGGTGTGAAAGGGGCAACAAAGGGAGGAAGTAACAGGGCCTGAAATGAGAGACAAGAGGTAAGTACAAAATAAAACAGGAAATGGAAAACGAGACATGACATGAAACACGGGGACTTGACGAGAGATGAAATGACATAAATAGACAGACCTGACATGACGTGAAATAACATGAAAAGACAGACATAACACATACGCATAACTAACACATTTGACGAGACACAACAGAAAAGAGGCAATAGGAACGGAGATGAAAGGATTTAAGGAAGTTGGAGATTTGTAACAGTGAGGAAAGATTGGACAGTAGGAAATGATAGAGAAGGGTGAATTTAAGGGAGATGGACGCACAGGATACAGCAGAATAAAGAGGGTTGGAGAAAGAGAGAAACAAAGTCAGAGAGCATCAAGAGCAGCCAGCCATTACTCTGCCACTGTGAGAGAGAATTAGTGCACTCATCGGACTCATTAAAACGCTGTCAGAGGGGAGAGGATGGGGGGTGGGGCTCAGTGGGAGAGAGTCAGAAGGGGTGAGGTAATATGGACAGAGGGGGTGACGCATCACGGAGGGTGGCTTGCCGTTACATTACACTGAGTCACATTGCAAAAGTCACAGGTCCAGCCTCTTAAGAATACTTAGACGCACAAACAGAAGCTGTTGTCAGAGCCATAAAAGCCATCGTGCAGCCTCTCATCTTCCTCCAGTAACACCTGTCCTCTTCCTCTCTCTCTCACACACACACACACACACACACACATTAGCTACACTGACGATCCTAGGGCTGGGAAAAGCACTGAGCACATATGCCGCTCTTCTATAATCATAATGGACGATGGACGATGGCCAATTTCCACTATAGGCTATCATTTCGGTCCATCTGTACCCCCCTTCCTGTTCACTCTCTCCATCCAACACATGGCGTTATTTACACATTTATGACACTGAAGCACGAGCCATCTATAGAGAGGGATGCTGCCATGTCTCCAGCCTGCCATTCCCCCCTTTTTTGTTTTTTGTTGGGCCACTTTGGATCCACACAGCAGCGAGGCTTTTTTTTTTTTTTTCTTCGTCTGTGGAGAATGGAAACAACAGCGAAGGCCGGGTCTCAGGAACAGAGAGAAAAGGGGGTTTAGGGTGTATCAGCTCACGGCATGCTGGAGGATTATCTGTGGATCAGCAGTCGGACTGGCGGTGCTGAGGGGGAGATAGGAGACTGGCGAGGGAGATAAGAGGAGTGCCAGCTGTGCAAAGATAGGCCGTGTTAGAGCCATGCCACGACGATAACTGGAAGTATGAGCGAGGAACATGAAGGGGGAAGGAGGGGAACACAGGTATTCAGAGAAGGAAATAGAAAAATCCCTGCGAGGGAAAAGGGAGGCCCGAGTGGGAGGAGGGAGGGTTTAGAGAAACAGAGCGAGGGGGAGATAATGTGGGAGAACATTTTAGATTAAGAGGGAGTATGAAAACGACACAGATTCAGGCAATGAAATGCTTAACGATGATACAAATGGAAATGTGGGTAAGATGAGCAGATAAGAGATGTACAAGGAGGAGGGGAGAGAGGGGAGAGGGGAGAGGAAAGAGGAGAGAGGAGAGAGGAGTCCCAATGGTCAAATAAACTATGTGTTATTGGTTTGAGCAGCAAAGCGTGGAAGTGCTTCACATAGATGGCCCCCCCATTTACAGTTAATGGTCATGTGTGCAGCGAGCACTTTCCTTCAAGGCATCTAAAGGTAACACATACAGAGGTTTAATGGTGTTCTGTTAAAGCACACCGACAGATATTTTGTTTAATAAATGTGCGATTATTAATTATAGGCTATAGGCATACAGAATAGTATAGTTTAAAAATGCTGTTTCAGTTTATCATATGGACTTATTTATTTGTTTTCTGTCAAATCAGGTGCCCAGGTATTGCATTTAACCCTTAATTGGTTTCTGTATTTTGGGGTAATTTGACATGTGTAAAATGGGAGTAATAACAGTGTAATAACGGTGAAATGTGGAGGTAATACGGGTCTAATAACAGTGTAACCAGGGTATAATAAGGGTGTTATACGGCTGCACACATGGTGTATTAATGTGTAATATGGAAGTAATGAAGAAAATAGTCATTCATTTTCGGACATATTCACATGTGATTACTCATTTTACAAATGTACATTTTAAATAAAGAAGAATGAGGTAGCCTTAATGAAAACCAAAAGAAAGATCAGGCATTATGTCCAGCTATAATATATTGTTATTGATATTTAAATGTGTTGTTATCGTGCTAGTTATCCCGATTCTTTAAATATATACCTGTAATATTTTGACGTCTGTTTATTGTGACTGTTAGGGAATACAGTTACCTTTTTTTTCTATCCTGTAATCCCATTACATGTAATCTGTTACTCCCTATGGACACTGACAGTGAAGCCATGTTATTGTAAAGCAACACCATTTTTTCCCCCTCCAGTTCAGCCCTAATAGTTACAGTGAATGTTTAATCATTGCGAGTCTAATGGCACTAAATGACACATCTGTGCCAACTGCGACTTTCAGGAACACAAGTGTTGTTAATAAAGTCATTAGTAAGCAATTACTCAGATCTTTCTTTAGGGAGGAACACGGAGAGGCATTATGTAATCCTGAACAACAGACGTGATCGTCATGCACATGCAAACACTCCTAACAAGGTGTCGTCTTCGCACACACACACACACACACACACACACACACACACACACACACACACACACACACACACACACACACACACACACACACACACACACACACACACACACACACACACACACACACACACACACACACACACACACACACACACACACATCTGGGCTCTTCGTTAAACCCTACACATCTGGCAGAAGTCCATTCATCTTGACCCGTCTGTGTGTAGTAAGTCTACCATTTTCTGCACAAAATAGCAATTTCTCTCAGCCCCATTTTTCAAAACACTATACTCTAATCTCCCAACAGTGATGCAGAGCCCTGACTAATCTCAAAATCTGTTGTTTCTGATATATTCTCCCATCTAAACTACCTGTGACTCCCCTCCTGTGTTGGGATGTTTACGGATTATAACCACGTCAACAAAAGATCGCTCTAAAAGTGTTTTAATCCTAAAGAAGTACAATCAAGCAGCCATTAACGAGATGGAAAAGCAAATATTGGACTCGAGTGTGAACAAACATGCCAATATTGTCGAGCAGGAATGTTTGTTTTGTGATTTTGTTGTCTTTGTAATCATGTCTCGACCCCTGAGGGGAGTCCTGACCCAACAGGTTGGAAAGCTCTCTCCCTGGATAATCTACAGCTGACCTCGAAACATCCTTAACTTTCTCAGAGCAAAATGTAATCGGTAAGATCTACAAAATGCCTTCAGACAAAGCACCTCATTTAACCTCAAATCCTCAGTTATAACAGGCCCAATTAAGAAATCCAAAATGCAGTTACAGAGAGAGGTGTTGAGGAACACATGGGTCTGCACCTCGCTGTCAACTTTTAACATGAAAAACCCTTGAATCAGGAGCACAGGTGCTGCCCTCCTGCTGTGAGACAGGTGTTCAGCTCGCACAGGAGAAGTTGGCTCATCATTCACTCTCTACCAAGCAATGCTCACTTGCAGACACACACACACACACACACACACACACACACACACACACACACTCTCTCTCTCTGTTTTTCTATGTATCTAACTCAGTTGCACACACACACACACACACACACACACACACCACACACACACACACACACACACACACACACACACACACACACACACACACACACACACACACACACACACACACACACAGTATTTGGTAGGAAAGAGTTAAGGTTCCCTACCAGAGTTTGGCTGTAATGATGACTGCGGTCAGGAGGAGCAGCGAGGAGATGGTCAAGGTGACGTAGAACTGAGGGTCCACTGTAACACACACACACACACACACACACACACACACACATTTCACACCATGACCATGTATTATTGTATCCAGAAAAAAAGGAAAGGAAAACAATGGAAGCCAAATGTGAAGTGAGAGAATCTGGCCTCTGGCATCTCTGACACAATCCAACGTCGTCCTCGTTGTATCTTGCTTTGTGACATCCTCCCAGTGAGTGATGAGAACTTTATTAGGCATTCCCCGCCACAGACACAGCCGGCTGCACACAGCAGCCTTCACCCGGTGACAGCTAATTCCCCGGAGGACTCGTGGTGTGTGTGTGTGTGTGTGTGTGTGTGTGTGTGTGTGTGTGTGTGTGTGTGTGTGTGTGTGTGTGTGTGTGTGTTCTCATGGACACCTTTATTTAGAAATCCTTCATGTGCATCTTCTCATTCCCACCTTCCTCAGGCTCCGTCTCCTCCGCCTCCGTCCCTCCGTCCTCCCCTCCTCCCCCCCCCTGGTCTTTGGACTTCAGGGGGGGGGTCCTCTCCGGGCTGGAGGCTCGTGGGCCAGTGCGCCTCGGGGGGGGTGCTCGCCTCCTGCTGTCCCCCCCCGAGGCCCCCATGCAGGGCTTCCGTTTCCTGGCTGGAGAGGAAGTGGTAGGTCTCGTCCTCCAGAGGCTGAGTGGGACCCCAGACCACCGCCCACAGAGGGGTAGGCGTGACCTGGGCCGTGACGGACAGCTGGACCGACAGGGCGTCCAGCTGCTGCTCCTCCTTGCCCTCGCTGTCGTCACGGTTACAGGTGGAGGGCTGTGTCACCAGAGCAACCAGGAGGAGGGCAGTCAGTCGAGCGACAGGAGAGATGGAGCTGCAAGAGAAAGCATGAGAAGTGGTGGAGTGACAGAAGTTATCTGAGAGAAAATGTTGTCCACAGGCGTCCTGCACGACCTCATCAGCTCACACATTGATCCTGATGCCAGCAATAAATCAGCAGGACATTTAATGCATCTGCACCCCATTCATCCCTCCTTCACCTCTATCCATCTTACCATCTCTCCATCGCTTCGCTCTGTTCACTGAGACTCCGCTCCTCCGATCATCTCTCTCTGTAAGAAAGGACAGAGGGGCAAGAGAGAGGGAGAGAGAAAAGGGGAGGGTCCAGCTTCTTCTTTTATGTTTCCAGATGAAAAAGCATGTAAACATAGACACCAGCAGGAGTCATGGCAGAAAGCTGTCATCTTGAAAAAGAAAAAAAAACGGACTCCCCTGGGCTTTTAAATTTAACGCTCAATTATGCGCCACATGTTTCTACAGAACCCACATCTGCAGTCAGAAGTACACTCACTTCTGGTCTCTCACACACATGTACAGTGCACACACCTGCGCCCGGCACATTTATCATCATTAGAAGCGGCATGCACAGAGCCAATACTCTATATGGCACTTTGAGCAGAGAGAGGCAACTTCTCCGTCCAAAACTGCTGCCTAAATGCCACAGAAATGTCACTTTAGACACAAACGAGCACACAGGGAGACGGACGGAAACACAGACACACTCCGACACATATCAGTTATCATGCCTACCTCTGGCAGTGGAGAGAGGGAATGAGAGCGGGAGACAGAGAGAAACGGGGAGATACAGAGAGCAACTGAGGAAAAAAAAAAAAAAGCATCCGTTGCCTTAGCGACTGAGACATGTAGAGTCTGCCAGAGTAAGAGAGGGGAGAGAGAGCGATGGAGGGAGGGAGGGGAGGCACTGTAGGAAAGAGATTTAAATGCTAATTATGTGTTTTAAAAAAAAAACTGGTTCAATTAAATGGACACGGAGAAAAATAAATGGATTTGCCGAGGCAAACAGAAATGATACAGAGGATGACGTTGTTAAGCTAATTACAAAAGAAAACTCTTCAATTATATTTAAAGGGGCCCTATTATGCAGATGTTCATATTTGTGTTTGACATGTCTCCATGATTTAATGTTCAAAAAGCTCTTTATTTTCCTCATACTGCCTGTGCTGCAGCACCTCTTTTCACCCTCTGTCTGAAACCAGAGCCCAGTCTGCTCTGATTGGTTAGCTGGCCGGCTCTGTTGTGATTACTCAACCGCTTAGAGATGTCCCGCCCCTTATCATGTACAATGTGTTGGAGCACGAGCCAATAGGAACGTGAGTGTTACATAGTGATGTCACGGGGTTACGTCAAAGGAGTCAAATGGAGGCGTTTCAGGCAGAGGGGGAAATGTGTGGGAGAGAAACTTGGGATTTTAGTCTTTGCAGACCATTTACATGCACACAAAAACCTATACAACACACCACAGGAAAAGGTAAACCCAAAACAGCATAATGAGTCCCTTTAAAAAACATGCGAGTACACGCCGGAGAGACAGAGACAGAAAAAACAAACAGCAAAGAGGAAGGCTGGAGGAATAAATATGGAATAAAAAGTCATTTACATGAAATTACACATTCAGAGCGGGTGAGGAACTGGTGTTTGAAGAGGCAGGGTCACATTGAAATAAAAAAAGAGACAATACAAGCTGCACTTTTGGAGGTGAGAGTCACAGGGTGACAGCTTTATTGTATGTGAAAATAATATTTACATAGAAAACAATCTGCCTATCACTCACACACACTTACACACACACACACTCTCACTGCACATACGCTGCCTCCTCCGACACTCTGTCACACTTCACTCCCCCCCCTCTCATTTCCTCTCCATAGCTTCAGGCCGCGGTGTCCTCGGCATGAGGAACCAGCGTTCACTGGAGAACGCACCGCAGCCACGAGCCGGACCCTCCGTCCTCCACACCGTCACACCGCCGCTCCTCTCCTTCGTTGTCATCATCGTCCTCGAAATCTAAATTTGACAAGGAGGTCATGAGGATTCGTCACAACATGCATCATTTAAAATTACCGTGATTGTGAAGTCTTGATTTCATGGTTACTCTCGAGAAGTGCCAGTGAGTGAATGGAGACATGGAAATGTGTGAAATTGCAGGGTGTGCGTGTGTGTGTGTGTGTGTGTGTGTGTGTGTGTGTGTGTGTGTGGTGTGTGTGTGTGTGTGTGTGTGTGTGTGTGTGTGTGTGTGTGTGTGTGTCTGTATGTGTGTGTGTGTGTGTGTACCATCCGTGTCCTCGTCATCTTCTGAGTCTCCCTCTGACTCCAGCACACAGGACTCCAGCCGACTGTCTCTCTTCGCTGTGACATCACCCCTACAAGAATTAAAACCCGCAAATTCATGAAACAGTTCATATCGATAGAGTCCACATCAGTTATATTCATTTGCATCTCATGAATCCCACCATAGCTTTAGAATGAGCTGTGCAGGTGACCTTGGGAGAATTATGCAAATAGGAAATATAATTAAGGAGTTTGGACTAAAATCCTTTTTAGTGTTATTGACGTGTGCCGCGCTCACCTCTGCTTCCCAGCGCTGGGGAGCTGCTCCCACACGAGGAGGTCGCGACCTCCAGTGACCCAGCGGTGGTCTCCGCTCCCTGTGGTCCACGCCGCAAAGCAAAGGATTCTGGGAGCATCGGGCCAGGTCAGAGAGGCCAGGTAGCGACACTGAGGCAGCGAGAACACTACAGGAAGAGGGAGGAAGCAGGTCAACTGGGGAAATGCACATTCTCAGGTTCGAGTATTTTCTGTTGTGATTGGTCAACCGCTTAGATGTCCCTCCCCTTAGCCTATCACGTACAATGTGTCGGAGCGCTAGCCAATAGAAGCATGAGTGTTGCATAGTGATGCCACTATTGGCGCGTTTCCACTACAGCGCGGAGCACGGTTTAAGAGGGCTGTGACGTCAGCGGCCCGTTTTTAGTTGCGTTTCCACTTGGCCTAGTACCGGCCGGCGGGTCCTAATTCACAGTTTTTCTGGCCTCATAAAATCGTGGGTCTAGGGCCAGAGACAACGAGGCTGAGTCGGGCTGAGTATGCTAAACTAGAGAGAGAATCGCTGGCAAGGGGGCTACAACTACAACAAGATGGACATATTTGACCGTGATTTAATTGTAATACACGTTTCAAAATGATGCCGAAGTAACAACATACTGATACCGGTTAGTAAAAACCATGAATTAATGCTTTGTCAAGTCTGCAGACAGACGGCAGGCGAACAACCTTTTAAAATGCGTGTTTTCTAAATGGAGATTGGCTAAGCTAACGCAGTATATGCTCCGACCGTCCACACTCACAACAACGGCCTACAGACATAAATAAAGCAGCGACTGTATTCACCATGACACAGGCAGTCTGTGGTTTGTACTTGTTTCACTTTTGTCTAGTTTCTGAACATATATGAGGAGCTGTGAGCTCTGAGTGCTAACAGCTAACGGCTGTGTTGTTTTTCTGGGGTTCTCATTGAAGATGACGTCACGGCTCCGCCTACACTGCGTTACTATAGATACTACCCCAGTTCCTAAACTGTAATGGAAATGCGCCATAAAGTGAGCCAGTCCTAGGCCTAGCCATACCGAGCGAGGCCGAGCGAGGCCGTGTAGTGGAAATGCGCCATAAGTTACAGAAGTTAACAAGGGAGTCCAATGGAAGAGTTTCAGGCAGGGGGGGTGGAGTGTGTGGGAGAGAAGCTCCCTCTGGAGGAACTTGATTTTAACCTTTGTAGACCATGGTTGCACTGGAACTCACGATTTAGCGAGCTCTCTCCGTTGGCCAGGTCATAGCAGGAGCCAATTAGGAGGCCTCCTGTCTGGTGCACACAATCTGTTACCCCGGTGATGCTGCTGTGATTGGTCAGCCTGGACATGGCTCCTGTGATAATTGGACAGATGTTAAGGTGGAAGTATTATGCAAATCTCCCTTCATCTGCCTGCCTTCTTTATTTCACTCATCCTGACACACACACACACACACACACACACACACACACACACACACACACACACACACACACACACACACACACACACACACACACACACACACACACACACACACACACACACACACACACACCACACACACACACACACACACACACACACACACACACACACACACACACCACACACACACACACACACACACACACACACACACACACACACACACACACACACACACACACACACACACACACACACACACACACACACACCTGTCCTCCAGTGCAGGATCTTGAGCCAGGCTCGGCCGTAGGACAGGAAGACTATGTCTCCTCGGGGGCTGAGGGTGAGACGCCCCCCCCGCCCCGTCCCCACAGCCCGTCACCTCCCCCCCCCAGTGGTGCAGCAGCCGCAGAGGGTCTCGGTCCGAACACCGGTTCTCCCACACCGACACCCCCCCGTCAGCCGAGCCGCCGAACACCAGCGGACCCTGAGCCTGCGGAGGGCACACACCACACAGGAGACACGGTTGTCATGGTGATCTACCCAGTGTGTGTGTGTGTGTGTGTGTGTGTGTGTGTGTGTGTGTGTGTGTGTGTGTGTGTGTGTTTGTGTGTGTGTGTGTAATAGAGTTAGATACACATAAAAAGACAGAGAGTGTCTGTGTGTGTGTGTGTGTGTGTGTGTGTGTGTGTGTGTGTGTGTGTGTGTGTGTGTGTGTGTGTGTGTGTGCAACTGAGTTAGATACATAGAAAAACAGAGAGAGAGTGTGTTTGTGTGTGTGTGTGTGTGTGTGTGTGTGTGTGTGTGTGTGTGTGTGTGTGTGTGTGTGTGTGTGTGTGTGTGTGTGTAATAGAGTTAGATACATAGAGAAACAGAGAGAGTGTGTTTGTGTAAATGGTAGTGTGTGGACAGTTTTTTTTTTTTTTTTTTTAAATATACGTTTCTGAGCCCCCGTCGGTATTTAAATGGATTGTGCGCTTTGCATGATAAACAACAGCGAGGATGACAATGATGCTCCATGCTTTAATGCTTCAGGCATATTTTCATGATTGCAAATTGGAAATGCAGCCCTGGATTTTCAATATTCATACCAAAAAAAGAAGCCTTTTTTCCTTCAAATATGTACTGTGTGATTTCTAAAATTGTCCGAGCTCCACAGCTTCCATCTCAAAAGATATCTTTGATTTTTCATTTTGAAAGCAACAAACAAGGAGGAAAACAGAGTAGAGACATAACCGTTTGATTTCCTAAGGAGGGACTATTTACACAAATTATTAATCAAGACTTCTAAAAAAAATTATTTAGACAGCTTCTTCACAGAGAAGAAATGTTAGGGAGGGCTTTTTTTTTATCGTCAGCTTTTAAAAATAGTCTGAACAGCTTGAGCATCGTCAGTGTGTTGACAGTGCAGAGGTGAGTGACCCGCCCACCTGGATGGAGGTGACTGCTTCCTGGTGAGCGTTGATGGACTGGCAGTTCTGGAAAGTGTGCCAGCTCCAGGCCTGAACTTTCCCCGCGTCTGAGGGGTGACAGAGTGTGAGGTTAACGCGCACTGACAGGCGTCTGGCAGTCATTACTGTCGGTCACGCTCCGTACACCTGAGCTGCCTAATCTGTGTGTGCCTCCATCTCCCTGATTCAGGCCGATAACGCTGCGCTACACTCGCTAACTAGATGATATCTACGTACACATTAGCAGGGGTGTTCAGATCCCTTTACTCGAGTAAGAGTACCATGACATGAATACTAAAATACTACGTTTATAAATGATAAGTCTAGCATTCAAAATCTCAATTAAGCACAGTACAGTTTCACAGTGAAAGTACTTATTCTGCAGTAACATGGCCTCCATATGTGAAATAGTATTAGTTTGACATATTGTTGCTTCATGTACACAGTTATGATATAAAAAGGATTGATGTTGACGACTTTCTTTATCAACTTTTGTATTATATTGAACATTTTTAACATGAATCCACTGGTTTAATCTTTAACATATTTTCAATGCAAATTATTAATCTCAAAAGCATTTAAAGCTGTAAAATAAATGTATTGGAAAGAGTGGAAATACCTAAAGTGAATGTTCTTAGTACCTTTTAGGGCTGTGCAATTAATCGTATTTTAATCGCAATTACGATTTTGGCCTGCCACAATTACGAAAACAACATAATCGAAAAAAACAATTATTTTGCTTTGCTAGGTTGTGACAGGGCACTGCAACATATTTGATCTAATTTATTTTTATTTATCATATTTATATATGTTTAGTAGCTTGTTGAAGTGCGCTCCAAAATATTTGTTGATCTTGTTTATTGGTATTTATTATTTTGATATTATTTATTTAAATGTATTATTTATTTAATTTATTTTTGTATTGGTTTTTCAGTTGAATTATACGTTCAGGGTAATCAACAGTTAAAAAGATACTGTTCAAATTATTATTTGTATTTGTTTTAAAGTTCAATAAATGGATGTTTTCAAAGTCAATGAATAATCGTATTTAATAATCGTGATATCAATTATTGACCAACATAATCGTAATTATGATTTTTGCCATAATCGCACAGCCCTAGTACCTTTCCACCATTGCATGTCAGTAAACGTGTCTCCTCTAAAGCACATACATGTTCAGAAGTAGGTATCAAACACGACATGATGCTACAGTTCTGCTCAGTGTGTCCCTGTCTCTTAGTTTCCCAAACAGAAACACACCTGATCCAGTGACGATGTAGCCGTCTCCTTCTGGCACAAAGCACAGTGCGGTCACGGCGTTGAACGTGTAGAGAGACTTCACACACTGACCTGGAGGTGAAGGGAAAATATGATTTTAATTGACTAGACGCAGCCCAGCGGTCACACAGGAGGCATACATTGATTAAGATGCACTCACACGTGCACGTGCACGTGCACGCGCACACGTGCACGTGCACGCGCACACACACACACACACACACACACACACACACACACACACACACACACACACACACACACACACACACACACACACACACACACACACACAGGCATGTTTCCCAGACAGAAGCCCTGAGGCTCTTTCCACCTCAATATATATGGTGTGTCTGTGTGTGTGTTTAAACGTACCGGCGCTCAGGGCCCAGATCTTCACGTTGCAGTCTGCAGAGCCACTCAAAATAAACCTCTCTTTTTCGGACAGAGACAGAGCCCGGGCTGGAGAGAGGGCAAACACACAGGAGGAGGAGGGGAGAGGAGAGGAGAGGAGAGGAAAGGAGAGGAGAGGAGAGGAGAGGAGAGGGAGACGGAGAGGATCGAGGAGAGGAGAGGACGACGGAGAGGATGAGGAGAGGAGTCGAGAGGAAGAGGATGCGAGAGAGAGAGGATGAGATGAGAGGAGAGGAGAGGAGAGAGAGGAGAGAGGAGAGGAGGAGGGAGAGGAGAGGAGAGAGAGGAGAGGAGAGGAGAGGAGAGGAGAGGAGAGGAGAGGAGAGGAGAGGGAGAGGAGAGGAGGAGAGGAGAGGAGAGGAAGAGGAGAGGAGAGGAGGAGGAGAGGAGAGGAGAGGAGAGGAGAGAGGAGGGGAGAGAGGAGAGGAGAGGAGAGGAGAGGAGAGGAGAGGAAGGACGAGGAGAGGAGAGGAGAGGAGAGGAGAGGAGAGGAGAGGAGAGGAGAGGAGAGGAGAGGAGGAGGAGAGGAGAGGGAGAGGAGAGGAGAGGAGAGGAGAGGAAAGGAGAGGAGAGGAGAGGAGAGGAGAGGAGAGGAGAGGAGAGGAGAGGAGAGGAGAGGAGAGGAGAGAGGAAGGATTGTGGATCAGGGAAAGAGAGACAAGGAGATGAAGTTGAGAGGAAGCTGTAAATAAGTGATGATATCAAACAAAGGGGGATGTTCAATTCAATTCATAGGCTTTATTGTCCTATGCACAGTGGCTACAGTGTAGATATGGCAATGAAATGCTTAGGTCCCAGGCTCCTCCAACAATACAACATCATATATATATAATACATAAAACAATAAAAAATGGTGCAGAGTAAAATACAATTGTGCGAGGTTATGTTGCAAGAGCAATGTGCACATCAAATACAAAATACAATAAGCTAAATAATGCAGAGAATGTTGCAAGTGACCAAGTAAATGCAGGAGTCTATATACATGTAATAAAATACTGTGTTTTGTAGTTATATATATATATATATATATATTGCAAGAACGAGGCGTAAAGAGAATAGGCGCGAGTTAAACACACAGTGTCACTTTTAGTTTGACAGAGCTGCATCTTCTACGTGCTGCACTTCACGCCTTGGTACTTTAAGGTATAAGGGTGTGTGTGTGTGTGTGTGTGTGTGTGTGTGTGTGTGTGTGTGTGTGTGTGTGTGTGTGGGCATTGGAGTTCAAGTGATGGAGGGATGCCTGCTTCATACAGACTCTCTAAAGTGTCTACTGAGGTTATCTCTCTCTGGGGTTGATCTGATGAACTGCTCCTATAATTACCAGACTGCAGGGCACAGGCATTACTCAGGATGTGTGTGTGTGTGTGTGTGTGTGTGTGTGTGTGTGTGTGTGTGTGTGTGCGTGCGTGCGTGCGTGCGTGCGTGCGTGCGTGCGTGCGTGCGTGCGTGCGTGCGTGCGTGTGTGTTCGTTCTCACCCAGCCTCTTGCAGTACTCGGGGGGAGGTGCAGACAGACAGGTGACCCCCCCGGTGTGACCCCCCAGGTTCTTGTGCTCCTCTGCAGCAGTGGGAACGTGCCACACCTTCACTGTCGTGTCTCGGCTGAGAGGAGGAGACGATGGAAGGAGGTGAAAAAAAACAGGAAGTAGTCAGATCCTTTACTTGTCAAAACACTCATTTTCACACACATACAATGAATAACTTAGCTATAAGTAGAGAAGTGTTATCAGTCAAATGCACTTAAAGTATCTAAAGTAAAAGTGGTCATTGTTCTAAAACAAAGTGCCTCCTTATGTGAGATATTGTGGACATTATTAGACTGTTGATATCAAGTAGCATTTTACTGTTGTAAACAAACACATTTCTGATACACAAGCATTTATGTTTAGGATTTATATTGGATATGTTTAACCTCAAACAGTTGGTCCACTGGTTTAATGTTTAGAGAAGCATTATGATAAATGTAAAATATGAATCTGGAAGTGAACTAAAATAAATGTAGTGGAGTAAAAATACATTCTCCATAAGGTAAATTGAGCCGTCACAGCGGGAAGGGTCGGGGGGGGGGGGCGGAGAAAAACAAATATGACAGCGAGGAAGAGAGTGGGAGCGTATTAAGTGATAAATTAGGGTAAATGTTCACTTTGCACATCCATTATGCAAATCAAGGCTTCTCTCCCCGCGTTACCTTCCAGAAACCACCAGGTTGTCAACAGCAACCACGCAGGTGACGATGTCGTTGTGACCCTCCAACAGCCTCAAGCGAAACTTCGACTTCTCCCATGATGATTTCAGGCATGCAAATTCTGCCTCTGCCAAAGGGAAATGATTCGTCTAATTAGCAGTGTTGACAAACCAGCACCCCTGCACACTTCTTCAACATGGATTAGTGTGTCGCTGTGATGCAAGGGGATAATTCAGCTCTGAGGGGGCAAAACACGAGGGTCCCGTCTTCAGGGAGACGAACGCAGCCTGTTGGTTTTTAATCTGGCAGCAACATGAGCTTGTTAGTGCTCCTCCAGGCAAACATGTATAATCTGATTCTGGGTGTTAATGGTGGATTAGGGCCCTGCATTGTGATTCTAACTGCCTGTAAAGGGTACAAATCATTTTCTTAAAGGTCACCTATTATGCAAAATCCACTTGTTCATGTCTCTTCTACATCAACATGTGTCCCCTCTGTGTAAAGTGATTCTGAAAGTTTCAGGAACAAAGATTCTCTCTCTTTTTGTCCTGATCCATTTATATAAAAACCTGTCTGAAAATGAGCTGATCAGATGTTGGCCACTTTGTGATGTCATAACGATTTTTTGGCTTGTGTAACCATTAGCCAATCACCAACCAAGGTAACCCCCCCCCCCCCCACCTTATCACCTCCTAGAGCACCATTGTGTTCTTTTTAACCAAATCTCTCTCAGAGGGGCGTGGGGAGGGGCTCCTTATTTTCATCTGAAGTAACAGACAGAGAATCAGCACGTTTGAAACAGGGCTGAAACAGAGGGGATTATGGGATGCTGCAATGATCAGTTTGGTGTTTGGAGCTTCAGAGACATGTTTTGTATATATCTGAGACCTGTAATATATGGATGAAAAACAGTATAATAGTTTTAATGAATCCCACCTTGCTGCCGCTGCTCCGTGTCAGATCCGGATCTTTCTGCTGGGACTTCCCGGCAGTGATCTGACATCTTGGCCGGCGCGGTTCTTTCCTGCTGTCTGTCTCTCTCCGCCCCCCCGCCTGCCTCCCTCTGCCTGGCAGCCGGCGCTGGCGTTTCCTGGGTTTTGGACTTCTTCTCTGCTTTAAGGATCTTCGGGGCTGGGGGCGTTTGTGATGGAAAGGCCTCGGGGGCATCCTCCCTGTGCCAGAGCAAGAAAAAGAGCGAGAGCAGAATGAATAATCGGGACTCAAACGGCACTCCTTTGTGACAGCGAGGGATCATACGTGTAGAGCATCTCCCACATAAACAGCGCTTTTTTTAATGAGCTCTTACTCCTAGAAATGATACGTTTCGTTCAATTTGAGGGGTAACATCCACACATAATCTGCAAATATCCCTGAGGGGGCTTTAATAGGGAGGCTGACATCTCTGAATGATGTTTACATGAAACATAATGAACAGTGCAGAGTTCACATTTTATTAAAGCGTGACAGTATTTGACCTCCAGTGCGTTTGGATAGACATGCATAAAAAGATCAAAGGCTTCAAAGTGAATGTTGTTGCTTTTGAAGAATTACGCGTCTCTCCATCTGCACCCCCTCTTGCTGATACCTCTCCCTCACTTCCTTACACATGTCTTTTCATCTTCTCCTGTTTTCCGTCTGCCACAATCCCCAGAGTTTGCTGCGGGCCAGAAAGCTGCAGCTGAAGCTCAGCCAATCTGGAACGCAGCTCCGCCTTCCTGGAGATCTGAGAGGGAAGGAGGCACGAGATTAGTTGTAGACCAAGCCATTAAATCCACAAGTTGCTCATGTACACAACCAACACACTCAGCCTGTCTCCATGTATTAGTCTGCGACTGGCAACATGTCTGACTGCGAGTTATAAAAGATGCATGACGAGTGAATCAGGTATCGACTTGAGATGAAGTGTTTGTTCCCTCAGTGTAAAGGAGCAGCACACATCCGTTTTAAGCTTACATGGGAACTATTTTGTAGTTTTCTGTTTCTTATTTTCACATAACATGTTGATGAATAAGTAGAGTCTTAAAGCGGCCCTATTATGCTAATTTTCAGCTTCATATTAATATTGTGTGCCTCTACTGCGACATGTCTCCATGCTTTAATGTTTCTCATACTGCCTGTGCTGCAGCACCTCTTTTCACCCTCTGTCTGAAACCAGAGCCCAGTCTGCTCTGATTGGTTAGCTGGTCGGCTCTGTTGTCGTGATTGGTCAACCGCTTAGAGATGTCCCGCCCCTTAGCGTATCATGTTAAAAAAAAATAGCAGCGTGAGTGGTACATATTGATAGCATTATGTTCGGGAAGTAAACAAAGGAGTCCAATGGAGACTAAAATAGAAAATGTACAAATATTAAGTTAATTACAAATACTGCAACATTGAACTTAAGGATAGTACTTGTAAGTAAATATACTAATTTAGACTCCACTACTTTTAAATGTGGTCAGTGTAAATCCATAATATTTTTTCGCAACATGTGAGATATGTATCTGTGTTACTCATACGAGGAATAAACAATTGTAAATAAGGTGTAATATAAATTAATAGAAATAGTATATTAAGTCACTTCTGTTTTATCATTTGCTGGTTTGTTGTGGGCCATCTCATTGCACACAGTAAGTTAAGACATAGGACATTCAACGTATTCCCAGGTATGAATCATGGCTGTAGTGGCGACACCACTGAGTGCATTTATTCTGCTGTTTCCAATTAGGGGATGTAAGGGCGGAGCAGTAGAGGACTGTTGTAGGGCATCACAATAACTTACAGATCTCTCTGCCCTTTAACACACTGAGGCTCTCCTGAACTATCGGGTAATTAACTTTTTCTGATGCTCATCCTGAGAGCTTTCCTGGGGCGAAACATGTCAAATTATTCATAACACCATTATCATTAATTCATCTTTATCACATATGTTCCTCTTTATGATATCTATTCCAATACGTTATTCCTAGTTAAAGATGCAGCCTCGGGTAACTTCATAGCATCATAAATCAACATGAAAGCATCTTTATGTGAACATATATTTTATTCCTCGTACTGTGGACCTTAGTATAACCTAGAATATAACTTTTCACATTTCTCCTTTTTTCTTACGTTTTCAAAAATGTGTAATGGTATTTCTTTGATTCTCTCAGAGGTGGGAGAAGCACTCAGGTCTTGTACTTAAAGGTCCCATGTCATGCTTTTCCGGTTATTACCCGTCCCCTTGTGTGTTATGAAGGTTTGTATGCATGTAAACGGTCTGCAGAGTCACAAACCCTCAAAGTACACCCTGTAGCGAGTAAAACTCTAACACAGAAAAGACCTGTCTATGCTGCCCCAGAACGCCTCGTTGGAGATTTCTCTTTTTCCATTTGTTTCTTCCGGGAACCAAAATGAACCAATCTGCAGAGCTCCTCACACACCATGATCCCTTGGCGTCACTATCAAACGCAGTGGGGGGGACCTTTAGCGTAAATGTTCAACTAACAGGGAGTCCCATTATGACTTGCATAGAGCTCCCTGAACGCTGGTAATAGACGAGTTGGGATCGCGGAGAAATGCTCTCCGCAGACCAATTCTCACAGCATTATAAACCTTTTTCTTACTCAATATCAAGCCACACTTATTGTTTTTACTACGGCTGTGAGTGTTTGTGTGTGCTCAGGATGAGTTTCGCTGTGTCTCGCTGTATCGCCGACCCGGAAACCACACCAGTAAGCCAGCTCACTGAGCAGTGAGCCTCGCAACGTCCCGACCAATCAGAGCACACTGGGCTCACAGGGAGGGGGGGGGCAGGAGCTCCAACAAGCCGTTTAGGACAGAGAGTGAATACACATACTATACAGAGATGCTGTATGAGAAACCAATGTGAGTTTGGAAAATTGCACAATTTAAATCTATTCTAGTAGACCTCAACAATGGAATTATGATCAGTAGAAATGGCCAAGACATGGGACCTTTAAGTAAAAGTAGAAGTACCGCAGTGTATGAATACTCTGTTACAGTAAAAGTCCTGCATTCAAAATGTTACTCAGGTAAAAGTACAAAGGTATTATTATCTAAACATACTTAAAGTACTAAAAGTAAATGTACTCTTTGTCCCTGGGCAAGACACTTCACCCCAAATTGCTCCTGTGGGGATTGCCCACAGTATTGAGTATGTAAGTCGCTTTGGATAAAAACGTCTAACAAGTAACATGTAATGTAATGTTGTACAGATTGGCCCATTTCACAGTCATATTATATATTATGTTTTGATTATTATTATTATTATTGATGTGTTTATCAAAGCTGGTAAAGGTGCAACTAAGTCTGATTTAAGAGTTGATCATATTGTTTATCATCTTCATAGTAACTAAAAGCTATTACATGAACGTAGCGGAGAATAATTACAATATTTACCTCTGTAGTGGAGTAGAAGTGCAATTTACATACAATGGAAATACTCAAGTAAAGTGCAAGTTCCTCAACATTTTACTGAGATTGTAAATGTACTTTGTTACTAGTTTACACCACAAGATCCTACATGTATTTGTGCCACATCTAAAATACTTTAATAATTCATGGTGTATGGATATGCAGCTTGACTTGACTTGACTTGACTTGTCTTCATCCTGTTTCAGCTGCTGAACATGGATATTTGCTGCAATGCCTTTTATTATTGACTGAATCTGTGTCTGTGCTGTAGTACAGTCTGCAGTTATATAACCCTGCTGTTACACCTGAGGGAAATAAATTCAGGATTTTGCTCAAAGATCACACACACAGTTAACACTGGGACGAAAATGCAGTTGAAGTGTTTCTGTACCTTGAATCTCTCCTCTGGGGAAAGACTGATTTTTATTTCCAGACTCCCAATCTGTCTCAGTTTCTTCTGCAGCTTCCTCACCTCCCCCATCTGGAGCCCGTCTAAAGCTTCAAAGCTATCTTAAAACCTCTTCTCTGACTCTCTGTTTGTCACAAAAGTGTCAAAGCATTGCCTTTTAAAGGAAAAGTCTGCAGAGGTTTAAATAAATCAATCAATATCAGACGGCTCGGTGTGTGTTGGGAGACGTGTCGCCGGATGTTGACGATCATTAGGAGTGTATAACTGTCCTTACAGCGACACCACGTGGGCGGATAGAGAAATGCAATGAAAACAGTTACACATAAATATAATTAAATAGTAGATTTACCATTCAAGGGTACTGGTTAGAGCAGAAGTGGTTGTATTTAGTGTTATGAGTTATATGAAGTTGCAAAACAAAATAGTTTAACTGAGGACGTTTAAATGGAGGCTGTAACCTGACACTGTGCTGCCTTCAAGTGCTACTCCATCAGCTCGTATATTTGAGACTCCCAAGTCGTAAATAGGATTAAGATAATAAAAAACCAACAAGTAATTATGCATTTTTGCTTATTAATCAGCCAGTTCTTTAAGAAGAAAGGGTGTTTAAGGGAAGCCATTCATCTTCAATCTTTTATTAGATAAAAACGAATTTACTTTGGCTGACAAATGAACATCAACAACTGTTTGCAGTTATGAAATATTTCATACAAAATGAAATGTGTCATTCAATTCATACATAAACTGCTTACTTTAATTTAATTTGAATAATTGTTGACAAGGCAGCGTCTAAACATCCACTCTTTGCAAGAAATAGTGCAGGAGAATATTGGATGTAGGCTATTACATTTCACTGCGCAGATATGGAGGGACCTTATTCAAAGATTTAAACCAAAAGTGAACCAAATACACAACAGAGCAATATTCAATTGACTCCATTACAGGACACCGAACATCAATTAGTTGTTACATTTGATGGGCCAAATAATTGTGTTGCATTATTTTAAAAAAATGGGTTTAATGACAAAATGATAAGCTGTCAATAACTGTTCTGTAAATCAAATGTTGTGCAACCCTGTGTTGCAATATAATATGACAATACATTCTCCTTAATTTGAAGCTGTAGTCATAGTATCAAGATTATCAGAAGTAGATTTATTACCAGGTAGGTTGACACGTACGAGGAATTTGACTTGGTGTCGTGGTGCATACTTAAAGTAAAACAAAAATGTTAAACACAGATAGAGAACTAGAACTAAAATAATAAAACATAGCGTAAAATATAACAGTATTTACATGGTGTGGAATGGAATAAAATATGGATTGAAATCGGCAGTAATAAAAAAAGAAAACAGATATTGTTGAACATTGTGGGCGGTGGTGGAGAAGCCCATAGGGACTTGGCTTGGCAACTGGAAGGTCACCAGTTCAAGTCCCGGAAAGACCAAGTGCTACCGAGATGTCCCTGAGCAAGGCACCGTTCCCTACACTGCTCCCCGGGCGCCGTACATAATGGCAGCCCACTGCTCCTAACACTAGGATGGGTCAAATGCAGAGAAACCGTTTCGTTACATAGAACCTGTACTACGTAATGACAATATGTTGAATCTTCATTAATGTAATGCATAGAGTCTATGATGTGGCTGAGGTATCACAAGACAAAAAGGTTGGAAACTTTTCTTTCTGGCTCTGAATCGAGTCCCTGATCCCTCAGACTCAGGGCTGGATTACCAATGTGGGAACGGCCCGGGGCTTCAAACCCTCGGGTAGCAAAAGGCCTGAAGAGGTGTGAGAGAGCTGGGGTCTCCTGGCAGGAATTTCAGCTCCATCCAGACCCCCAGGCCTGTGTAGACTCCTTAGGTAACACACTTTAGATGTGAGTATAGGACAAGGACTTACAGAGTTAAGGTGGATAATTATTTGAGTAATTTAAATTGAACAGTTTGAGGCAAACATCATTAAATATGGAAGCAAATATGTATACATTACTAAACTGTAGGAAATGATTGTCTTCTTTACTGAGACTATTTCCAAACGTATTCTATTTTTTCTCATAGTTTATTTTTTGAATATTTTTGGAAATATATAGGTTCTAACTTCACGAATAAGTAATTTCATAAGAACACTTATTAGATATGAAAGCACATATGTATACAGACTGCTATTTAAGATCCATCCAGACCCCCAGGCCTCTGTAGACTCCTTAGGTTAACAACTATAGATGTGAGTATACTGTGTAGGACAAGGACTTACAGATTTAAGGTGGATCATTATTTGAGTAATTTAAATTTAATCAGAAACAGAATCAGAATCAGAATACCTTCATTAGTCCCACAGAGGGGACATTTACATTGTTAGAGCAGAAAAGAGCCAATGACAGCTTGATGGCGGCAGTGGTTCAGTCTGTAGGGGATCGGACTTTGAACCGAAGGGTCGCCGGTTCACGTCCCGATCAGACCAAACAATACGGAGTGTGGACTGGTACTGGAGAGGAGCCAGTTCAACTCCTGGGCCACTACCGAAGTGCCCTTGAGCTAGGCACCTAACCCCCAACTGCTCACTGGCGCCGGCTAGACTGGCTGCCTCTGCTCTGACCTCTCAACTGCATGTGCATGTGTGCATATAACTGTGTGTGTATTTGTATATATATGTGCATGATGTAAAAAGTGTGTACTGTGTGTGCATAAACCTGTACCTTTATAGATAAAAACGCATGTGTGTGTACGACAGAGTGGAAACTGAATTTCTTAATTAAAAAATGAATAACAGTCCATCTTCTTCTTCTTCTTAATGTTACCTAAGCAGCATGCATTAAAACAAATATTAAAATCACACAATTTACTAAATACACATCCTGTAACAGTTCTGAAGATGTAGCAGCCAGGTATAGCTACTGTTTAAAGCACAAACACATTGTTATATATGTAAGCAAATATGTATACATTACTAAAGTGTAGGGAAGTATAGTTGTTTTTAAATGAGATTATTTCCACCTCATAGTTTATTTTTTGTATATGTTTGCAAATATATAGGCTCGAACTTTGAAAGAAACGAATAAGTTAAAACAAAACAAGAAAACATTTGAAACAAAAACAGTTTTTGGGAAAGACTGGACTAAAGACACCTTGTTATCTACACACTAAACTTTTAATTTATTGATTTCCTTCTAATTTAAACGGTAGGATTTGTATAAAAAATATACAAAATAAAATAAACATTAAATAAAAAAGCTTGGTTAAATGTAATAAAGGTATGGCATCCATTCTTCCCAATGCGAGGGTAATGTGTAGCTGCCTATAAAGCACACAATGTAGTAATATGAATATTGAATGTGTCATTTTGAGTAACGATTTATAAAAGAGTTCCTCATCACCCTGACACTTAAAGCGTTGTATTACTTCCGACAGTCAGTGAACGCCTCACAGCCAGAAGCTCGAATGTAACAAAGTAAACCGAAACAGTTGGTTAAAGGTTGTTGCTTATTTACCCTTTAACTGCCATTTAATGGATACAAAAACACATCTTACCAAGTGCATGTTACATTTTAGACTTTCTTTTTTTAATGTATTAACCCTCAGTTACAGGAAGTGACATCAACACAAACACACTCCTTTTGTCTGACGACTTTATCCGGAGGAAGTGAAGCTTTTAGAGGCAGCTGCTTCACCGGAGGAAAAAAAAGCGTCCAAAAAAAAAAAAAAAAAGCGAAGAGGCAAAAAATTAAAAAAACTTCTCTCCGCTTTGCAGGAATTTGCACAGATTTTGGGGAAAAATATTCCCAAACTACGGCAGTCCCGGGGAGGCAGACGGAGTCGTCGTTACCGGTAAACGCCACTCTTCTCCATGCATTTGTGTGTAGATTTGCATGAGTCTGCTCTCTCCACCCGTCCACAGCCGGAAGTCTGTGAGGATGGTCTATAGGTTTTTTTCTGTTTTTTTTTTTATCCTTAAGGTTTTTTTTTTTTAGCTCTGCTTGTTATTTCCCCCCCCCTTGCAGCTGCAGGACACACACTGCTGTCTGCTAGCTAACTGCATGTTAATCAGCACGGCGGCCTCATTAACTACAAGATGCAAGCAGCCGAAATGGAGTCGTTGTGTTCAGCTACGGCTTATTGTAAACAATGCACATCTAATGTGGGGCTTTTTATAAAAGTTAGCTAGGTGTTTTGTAGTGCTGTGGGTCTGCTGTTGAGCCAACTTCTAGCTAAGAAGTTGAATCTGTTGCACAAAGCCTATTGAGGTCAGCTATTATGTGTTGGTGTTAAAACATAATAAATGCACACCTGCTAGCTGAAGTCAAGTATAGATAGTTGCATGTTTTATAACCTATTGTTGGAGCATTGTCTAATTTGCCACTGTATTGATCCAAATATATTAATCTCTGAGACACACATGATATTTTTGATTACCCCACATGCATGTCTTCCCACCACGCCTCCTCCTATCATTTTGTTAATAAATCAGTTTATTCCTTAAACATTTTTTTATACTTGTTTCTTTATTGGATCTTTGACAGTAGGATCCATCCAGGCTGTGTTCAAGGCTGCATGACCAACCAGGCAAAGTGAGCATCGGCCCCTAAGAGCCACACACCCCCAAGAGCCCTCAAACCCCCAGATTCACTTTGTGGCAATACGTTTGTGGTAAGATATTCTGACTGGTTATAATAGAGGGAACTGAGTCACAGAGCCAGCATGCACAAAATCAGGAACTTGAAACTGAAACAACTTTTATTTATTTGGAATTTTGTCTGAGAAAATGCACTATCCATTTAAAGTGTTATTCAAGGGACAGTAAACTCAAATACAACATGTATCACTTTAGATTGTTTTGGTGTGATATGTGAGCTATAGCCGTAGATATGTTTTTTCTTTCTCCCTCATGTAAAGAAACTAGAGGGCTCATGGTGTAAAATTGCCACAAAAAAAACACTTTCATAAAACCTTCAAAGAGTATATTTGTGCAGAAGGAAGCATGCATCTGCTCACGCTCACTTGTTGGCAGGTGATGTTTGGTAGAAAGAAACTAGTTAACAAAAACAGTCTGTGGATTATCAGGAGTAATTGGGTCATGAATTCAGGAAACACGCAGTGCTGTTGAGTTTTTCAAATGTATTTCTTGGTACCACAAGCGTACCCTCGTGTTCCATTGTATTACATTATTTGAGAAAACACAGACAAGCCAACACTTTGCAACTCACACCAAATAAAGTTAGGTTGATAAATAGCACTACAAATGATGCAAAATGTTTGTATTTTGGGCTTCAATTAAATGTATCCTGAGGAAGAACATTCAGCATGTCATTGTAGTGTTGTAAATCAGCTGTCTCGTTGATCTCTTGATAATCTGATTCCTGCATGGCTGGTAAAGGTAAATAACTTCCTGGTGTTCGTTCCTTTTTTTAAAGACCTGCCAGTCAAGTTAGGAATGATAACAGGTTGTACTTCTTTGTAAATGTTGAGGTTGGGGTTTGTTTTCATTTTACATAAGGAATGTGCCTTTCACTTCTATGTTTTATCACAGTTGGTTTGTTTTTCTTGCATTTAAGTAACCCGTTGTAGTACGGACTAGGGCTCGCAGTAATTCATGGTTTTTGCTTTTGTGTTATTGCAGAAATGATGGAAGACTCTCATTTTAATTCATCGTACTTCTGGTCTCCCATCCCATCTGTACCAGCACAGGTGAGTCTGGAAAGAAGAATATGTCGTTTCTTTAAGACTGTAATGATGATGAAGAAGAAGGAGTGATTTGTGACTACAACCAGAGGACTAACGTCTGGTTAATATAATGAACATCTCCCCTCTCCTGACAGATTGAGAATGCCATGTTTCTGAACAAGATGAAGGAGCAGCAGGAGAAGAATGCAACCTTCTCTCAGTCCTCTGCATCCCACTACCAAACGGCTCTGCTCACCATCCCAAACCCTGGGATAAAGACAGATGGTGGAGGGCAGGGTGGCGGAGGGACTCACCTCCACCAGGCTCACAGCACCCAGAACATGCTGTCTGTCCCCTCCACCGGCATCATGACAGCAGGTGAGTCTGGAGCCTCTAATCGTGTGTACTGCACGATATATGACATAAAGAAAGTCAAACTTAAAATCAGAGGTATGCCTAAGGTTGAGGCTGGATAAAAGGAATTATTTGACCCCCAAAATTATGTTTTTTATATCAATAACTCACCCTGTTGTTGCTTGAATTCTTAAAGAAAATGTATTTTTTTTCACGCATGCCTCCACATTGAGCAACTCATCAGGAACAGAAAGTTGTTTTGGATGACCTGATGTAAAAGGGAGGCTCTCACACAACCTGTGCAGGAAAATCCCAGTGTCATTTACCCACATACTGTTTGTTCACTAGCTTTAAAAACAAATGCATTTTCTCTAAAACCTCACTTTTTAAAAACACTTAAACGCATAAACAGTGTTGGCGCAGATGAGTAGTGTCAATGCTGAACTGTTTTGAATAGTAATGTTGTCCCTTTTATAGGAGACCCTAGGCCACATGTGTCAAACTCAAGGCCAAATCAGGCCCTTGGTGGATTTAATTTCGGCCCGCAGGATAATTTCTAATTACTATTAGATCTGGCCCGCCGGTATATTGCACGCACACCTTCACTCAATCCTGAGGATCTCCTCAGCTCAGAGCCTGACCCCAAACATTGATGAACTTGCACCCAAGATGAGATGCCAAGTATCTGGCTTGAACTAGCATCACAGAGCAGCAAACTGAGTTTAATGGATGTTTCCTTCTGCACTTTTTTTCTTGCGACAACAGGGCATGTTTGGTTTGTTCTTTGAGGGAAATAGTTTTTTTGAAGCTGTTGTTGGCCTGTGGAAAAATGTAATCATAAGAAATGACTGCAGATAGAGCCATAAGAAATGAATGCAACTGATTATTTAATGTTTAATGTTGTTTTTATAGGCAATCATTTAAGCTTTGTTAGTTCCAGGTTTAATATGTGCAATAAGTTAATTAATTAAGTTTTGCAATAAACATTGAACCAGTCCGGCCCTCGTCTAGTACCCATTTTTAAATGTTGGCCCACTGTGTATTTGAGTTTGACACCTCCTGCCCTAGGCCCTTATTTACTTCTAATCATCACAGCTTTTCTCAGCATTTGAAATCTTTGTCCAACGTGTCGGCATGCAAGTTTCCCTTCCGTTATTCAAGAGGTAAAACAGGGTAAGAACTTGATTTAAAAACCATCCTTTTGGGGCTAGAAGTAGAGTTTTCTTTAAGTTTACTTCTCATAAGATAACAGTGATACATTAAATGATTTATGTGATGAGAACAAATTGATATTCCAGTTAGCTCCGAGCAGCACTGTGGGCTGTGAGCACACTTTGCCAGCTAACTGCAGGTAAAATGAACACCTGTGTGTCTCTGTTCCCGCCTCAGGGCTTTCTTTCAAATAATGGAACAGGAGCGCTGAGCTGTCACAATCTCCAGAAGCACTATCTTAAATCTTCAGGGTTCGGCATATGCTACACAGAACTGTCTGTTAAAACTTTATCTTTTCAACTGACTGCCAGGGGATCCTAGGGAAATTCCTGAGCGATAAGGACCGACTGTTCTCATGCACTGTCCAATGTACAAGCTGTACAATCATCAACTTTAATGGGATGCATTTCAAACTTCTGTAATGTGTTGTTATTTCTTTTTGTTATCTCCTCTGCTCTGTGAAGCGGGTCTGGTCATCACGACTCCTCAGGGAACGCTCGTCTCTCCCACCTCGTCTCAATCGTTTGTCTCCGGTCATCAAGCAACGACCATGATCGTTTCAGCACTTCATTCTGCAGGTGAAGCACACAGAAAGACACACAAGTCGTGGGATAGACCTTGTAGATGGGATTAATATCTCTTGCATTTTCTGTGATAAATGTTAACTTGAATAGAAAGTACATTTATTAAACATCTTAAGAAAATTATACCCTGACTGAAACCAGCATTTTCACTAACTACGCTTACTTGTGATTGTATATTTGCTTTTGCTTAACCTTGTGAGGCTAAAGGAATCAGCAGAGCAAATAACGAATAGTTTCTTAAGTCAACTTAACTCAGGACACAATATTTGTTTTAAATCATATTATGCAACACTTAATGTTGTTTTAGTGATTAGGAATATGATCAGGGGCCTCATTTATAAAGCCTTGCGTAGGATTGACGTGGGAAGGTTGCTTACGTAGGACAAAGCAAATAAATCCGCACAGACATTTTCCGATTCATAAAAGACTGCGTACCGGCGCAGGACTTGCGTACGGCACGTCCTACGCCGGTTTCCCTTTCTCAAGCTGTGCCAGTACCTTGTACTTCTACGTGTGAATCAGTTAGTTTTTCTTTTTACTAAACATTTTTCGAGGAGATTGCTTACAAACTGTTGGTGTCTGAGTGCTGTTTTATTGATTTAAAACCTGTTGTTGGACGTTATTCTTAGGGCTTGATCAAATCAAATCAAATCAAATCAAGTTTTATTTATAAAGCACATTTAAAAGCGATTTTTGGTCGAGCCAAAGTGCTGTACATGTAATAAAAACACATTACTACAATCACAATAAAAGACAATAAATTACAACAGATATATATAATTTTTTTTTTTTTTTAAACACAAGGAAAGGTCAGGAGTCGTGCTCCGCTCTAACTATAAGGCCAGAGAGAAGAAGTGTGTTTTTAGTGTTGATTTAAAAACCCCTAGGGTCTGGGCCGACCTCACATGGAAGGGCAGAGTGTTCTAGATCATGTTTTGAAAAACAGATTCTCAGTAAAGAATAGAAAACAATTTTCGCCCATGATGTCCTAAACCATTCGAACTACGACTGAAAGAAGATGCACAATTGAAAACACGAGATCTCCTGCTGCATACTTTGATTTTCGACTTTATGCCAATATACCCACAGAAAATCTTAAAGAGTATTTCTGCTTTCAACCCGGTGCTGTGGATCCTGTTGCAGAGAAAAAAGAAGGGGACGGTGCTCCCCATGTTGTTGCGATGCCGGCGCCCTCCAAGCGAGGCAGAAAGAAGAAGACCACGACGCTGTCCAGAGTCGGTTTGGGGGGAAACGAAACACTAATACTGGCTCACCTGACAGCAGGCGGACAGGTAAGCAGGGGAAATGTTATTTAAAAAAAAAAAAAAAATAGATAACGAAAACATGATCAAATAACGTTGTGTTTCTTTTTGACAGGTGGCATCTTTGCAGCATCACACTGTCGACCCTTACGACCTGAAAAATGAAGAGGAGGAACACGGGCTGAAAGACAGCACCAAGACTTACAGGTAGGCCGACCAAAACAAAAACAACACCTGCCGTTTTTTCTGCTCGCTGTAGCTGTGGAATGCAAACACACCTGTTCTTCTGTCCAAATCAAAGTAGAGATGTGTTCGTAGATAACAAGGCGCTGCTGCATAAGCATCACACACACACACACACACACACACACACACACACATACACACACACACGCCGCTTCTGAACACACTTCACTGCATGATGTGGCAGATCACGCCTGCTTTATAGTGGACTGTTGATTCCTCCGATTTGAGACACAAATACATCAGTGCTTTCTTCCTGCCTCTGCACACACTAGGCATAAATCTCTGCCTGCCCTCTACTGTCCTCCTTGTCTTTAAATAGCATGCTCTCTGAGTTGTAAAGCACTCTTCTGCTTTGTATAGTATCTACGTACCTTTCCCTGTCAGTTTTCACTGATTTCTCCCTTGGCACCTTTCCTTGTGTTTACCCCTCCTTCCCCTTCTGTCATCATTGATTTATCTTATATTTTCCTATTTATTACGAGTTTTCTATCACATCTTGTTTATTTCTGTGGGCTTCATTTCCCCCTGTCTCCACTTCTTTCTTCCTCCATCATCTGGTGTCTCTTTTTCTTCTTCTTCCTCCTCCTCCTCCTCCATTCTTCCTCCCATTTCTGTGTCTCTCCGCCTGTAGGTGCCGGATGTGTGCGGCGACCTTCCTCAGTAAGTCTGACATGCAGATCCACTCCAAGTCGCACACAGAGGCCAAACCTCACAAGTGTCCTCACTGCGCCAAGTCATTCGCCAACTCCAGCTACCTGGCCCAGCACATCCGCATCCACAGCGGGGCCAAGCCTTACACCTGCTCCTACTGCCAGAAATCTTTCAGGCAGCTCAGTCACTTACAGCAGCACACACGGTACTGCAGACCCCTCCTCCCCCGCTACCGACCACGCGCCATATTCCCCTGTCCTCTTTAACGTGTCCTGCCCAAGTCCCCCCTTTTTTTTGAAAGCCCAGACTCTTCTCCTGGGGAAGAGATTGGTGTGCAGATGCATATGAAAACTGCCATGTAGATGTTGGCTTGCATGCTATACCAGTTCCATCCAGAAGTGACCTTTTACAGATCATTAGCATTCAGATTACGACTTTTAGAGTTTGGGCTTTGTCCATAAGATCTTCCATAATTTAATTTAGAAAGGCCATTTGAAATGCATGGAGCTTTGTTCTTGATAAGATTGAACCTTTTTGTCATGTGTGTGTATGTGTGCGCAATACTTGCTTCTCTCTGTATTCGTTTGCATCGCATTTTCCCACTCTTCATGTTTCCTTTGTCTGCATGTTCTGTCATTTCTCCTGCTTCTTCAACAGAAACACATTTACAAAGACACATGTTGAAATTAAGATGTAAAGACAGACTTACTTCCATTATGCTTCCCCATGTAACCCATCCATACATTATCCATTGAACAGCGTGATGTGCGATAGAAATCCTTTGCTGTCATGCTCTGCTTTCTTTTTCTGAGCCTAATTTGAATGTTTTTGGCTGTCATTGAATCAGTTTACATGTTATTTATAGAGGAACGTCAATCTGAATGAAGGAATTTTCTGTTGTATGTGTCCAAATCAACAATGGCAGACGGATATGTGTAAAAATGATATGTGACATAGTCAAAAATAATTATGCGATGCTTGTATAAACACAATTTAAAATAAAGCAATACACAGCTAACATCCATAGAGCAGTTAAATTAAGAATGATACCAAATGTTTTCAACTGCTTTTCATTTTTCAGTATGTGTCAAACTCCTCCAATCTACCTTTTTTAAAACCCTTTTTCCCTTTCTCTTTCCCCCCTCGTCAGGAACCACACAGAGTCAAAGCCTCACAAGTGTCCACATTGCACCAAGTCATTTGCCAACTCCAGCTACCTGGCCCAACATGTCCGCATCCACACCGGAGTGAAACCCTACTCCTGCCCCTTCTGCCAAAAGAGCTTCAGACAGCTCAGCCATCTTCAGCAGCACAACAGGTAAGAGAGTCCCGTAGTGTCAGGTTTCTCCTCTGCATAAGTGTCTTTCTTTGGTTCGATCACCGTGAAAGTGATAGTAGTCCGTGTAAGAACATGTGTGCTTTTTGTTTTGTATTCAGGATTCACACCGGAGATCGGCCGTACAAGTGTATCCATCCAGGCTGTGAGAAATCCTTCACACAACTCTCAAATCTACAGGTGAGAAAGCATTGAGTCCCTCTCCAAAAGTGAGTGCATAAAATGTGTTTTTTTACCAGTGTCAATAACCATTTTTTCCCCCTACAGTCTCACCGGCGCCAACACAACAAGGACAAGCCGTACAAGTGCAGCAACTGCAACAAAGGATACATAGACGCAGCGAGCCTGGAGGTGCACATGTCCACACACACCGTGAAGCACGCCAGGATCTACTCCTGTGGGCTCTGCAACCGCACTTATACCTCAGTGAGTCAAATTATATTTCCTTTTTTTACCTCCTATATAATATTTGTACAAATAATATTCAAGTACAAGACAAGATGAGATGAAATAACACATGAAATAGGGGAGTATTGTCCACTCCAAAATAATGGTTTATATGTACCAACCAATCACAAATGATGATAATAAAAAAAACAATTGTCCACTTCAAGTTAAAGGGGACCTATCATGCAAAATGCACTTTTGTACGTCTTTTATACATGAATATGTGTCCCCGGTGTTCCAGGGAACTCACCAAGTGTCAGAAAACACAACCCTCTCTATTTTCCTCCATACCCAAATCTCTAAAAAAGGGGCTGCAACGGATCTGATAAAAACTGATCCAGATTTGAACACTGTCCTGACGTCAGGACGGTGGCGCTACGGCTATTGGGCCAACTCCACCAATCAGGAGGAGACAGCCACGGCCATTGCTGTTCGAAAGCGCTGGAGACGCTGTAGTACATATGCCAGGCCTGTAGGTGGTGCTGTTCTCACAGAATCTGCCCTTGCTAAAACAGAGCAAAATGAGGCATGGCTAAAATGTGTGTGTGTGTGTGTGTGTGTGTGTGTGTGTGTGTGTGTGTGTGTGTGTGTGTGTGTGTGTGTGTGTGTGTGTGTGTGTGTGTGTGTGTGTGTGTGTGTGTGTGTGTGTGTGTGTGTGTGTGTGTGTGTGTGTGTGTGTGTGTGTGTGTGTGTGTGTGTGTGTGTGTGTGTGTGTGTGTGTGTGTGTGTGTGTGTGTGTGTGTGTGTGTGTGTGTGTGTGTGTGTGTGTGTGTGTGTGTGTGTGTGTGTGTGTGTGTGTGTGTGTGTGTGTGTGTGTGTGTGTGTGTGTGTGTGTGTGTGTGTGTGTGTGTGTGTGTGTGTGTGTGTGTGTGTGTGTGTGTGTGTGTGTGTGTGTGTGTGTGTGTGTGTGTGGCTGCAGCTGCAGCTGCTTTTAAACATAATATAGGTGAAGACTGGGACAATGACACACAATTAGATTTTTGAAGCTTAAATACGTCAATTAATCCATTTGATTGAGGTCCGATACTATTTGAATCCAAGTTTTTTATGTGCGAGGGTCTGGTTTCAGCTATCGAACGTGTATACACTTCAAAGGTTGTACATTTAAAAGGTATTACTTGGCTTTTTCTGAAAATCACTTCTACGTGAAAAGCTGTGAATCGACCTCACTGCCACCAGACAGCTTTTTTTTAGCAGTGTAGTCATGTGTCCACTGTTTCCCCTCATCTCAGGAAACGTATCTGGTGAAACACATGGAGAAACACAACCCCGACCAGCTGAACGCAAACGCAGAACAGGCGAGACAACAGAACCAGAACCAAAGCCAGGTGTCCGCTCAGAGCCGAGACGACGGAGCAGACGGAGGATCGAACCGAGCAGACGGAGGACAGCAGGGACAGAGCAGCTACCAGACAGACGCCATGTCCTGTCCCTTTGACCTGCACCAGTATAAGACTGTGTCTGCCAGTGACATCCAGTACAAACCAGTCACCGTAGCGGACCTCACTTCCCACAAAGACCTCTGCCTCACTGTGTCGGCATCCACCATCCGAGTGGAGCACCTCAACTCTTAGAGGAGAGAGGGGAACGTGAAGATGGAGGATTAAAGCAATACTAAGACAAACTTTCGAACAAGACTGTGCCTGAACTTTTGTTTGAGACAGACAGGACAAACCATATGGGTAAAAAGTATACTGAAGACTAATTTAGTTTTATTTTTGTATTAGTTTGTCTCTCTTGTTTTTCTCTCTGCCTTGTTTGGTCTGTTGTTTCTGTTGTTTATCTGGAAGCTGCATGTAAAGGCTGCAATAAAGTATGTTTCAGTCCATCACAGTGATGGCTTTATGATAGGATGTGATTCTACTCATCCTTGTTTTATCACCTCCTGCGCTTCCATACACATACAGTTCTGGCCATAGCAATTTATGGTCTCTCTGTAGATGAAGCTGATAGTTGACTGAGAAGGTAATTTTTTATACTTTCATACAGGGACTGACCGTTTTTACATCACTCTACTGTGTTGTAAAATGCATTCATTCTTTTTTTACCTGAAAAGGGACTATAGGTTATTTCCTTTTCAGGAAAGAGAAAATATCAATCAAGTATATATATATATAGATATATATACTACCAGTTTATAAAGTATGATTATGTGTTTAAAGGCTGTGGTAATCCATATAACCTATTTAGTCCCATTTGTAGGCCTTCACATAACCTTTGAGGAAGTGAAGAGCCGTTTCATGTAACCCTATTGTACTTATTTGTGTGTGTGTCCTAAAATGATTGTTATCCAAATATGTTCTTGCTGTTACACTTCCCTGATAACAATGTTTATAATACTTCCTTTTAGATATACTGACACATCTGAATTTTGTCTCTTTTTTTCAGGCTTAAAAATTCAATAAACCCTCTGAAATGTTTCTCATTATTGGCATTATTCCCTTATGTGCTAAAGTGTTTATATGCAAGGGTATTGATTTAGGGCCACTCCTAAAATAATGTAAATATTCTCTCAGTTAATTTGTCTTTCTTTTGGTCTAACCAACGTCAGAAAAGACTGAAAATGCCCATAATAATTTCATGAAGCTAAAGTTTTCCTTTTAGATTGCAGTCCAAAATCCAAAAGTTCAATAACATTTAAGAGGCTACAAAGATCTTCTGGCTTAGACAAATTACTTAGATTTTAAATTGGATACTTTTCAGTAGATTGAGTAGGCTAATTATTGAATTGACAAATTGTTCAGATTTATTTTCATTGTTTTTGTCAATAAACTATTGCCATGATATAGGAAACATTTAAAACCTGATAAACAGAGAGGCAAACACTATGCTTCATGTGTTGTGCATAAAAGTATTAATAGATGCTACTGTGCATCCAAGTATGTTGTTCTAAGCATTTGTGCTCCTATGGAATGTGTGAGGTGTTTACAAAAGTGGACTGTACCATTAAATAGCAGGGTGGTTTAATGTCAGCTAAGGCAGCATTTCGGTCATATCTGTGTGTAATGGTACACGGAATGAAGCTATATACTCGGCGTTAAGTTAAATCTAAATAGTACAATCTAAAAAACAAAACAAATTATCAAAACTCGGGCAGTTTTGAAACGCTGAAATGTGGTCTCGTCCAAAATCCTCTGCGGTCTGCAGTGGATATGGCGTCACTGAAAAGTGTAGGAGTCGAGAAACTTCATCCATGTAAATAACGTGAAGAAGAAAGCTGTGTGACACGCTGTAGATAGCAATTCGCAGTACATAGCTATATTTATTTACCAGCTTACTTTATAAATATGCCCCGGAAAAAGCCATTTAGCACCAAACAGAAGAAGAAACAGCTACAAGGCAAACGGGAGAGAAAGAGAGGTATGTGCCGTTAGCATAGCAATGCTAGCGTTAGCTGCTACCTAACGGTTCTGACTCCACAGATAATTGTGATTAAGCAGCAAAATGTGTGTCTGTGTGCATTTGTTGGGTTGAGTATTTTCAATTAGAGCCTTAAACTATCATTTAGCCTAGATAACAAATATGTCTTCTGTAGGCTAATGCTAGCCGCAATAACAAGCAATGTGACATTAGTAACTTACCTTGACCAGTGTAAGTAGTATTGTAAAAGAGGTGTCAAAATGTGTCAATCATTACATTCTATGACCTCATTAACCCAAAATATGACTACATTGGTAAAGGTCATGTGGTACTGTCATTTAGAGAGCAATTTCAAAACAGCTCTTTACAGTAACCGCATGTTGGCTCATATATTCCCATGTGCTTTATATATTCAAGAAAAGGACATCATTTGTGACTGTCAAAGCTGTGGAATTTCTGACCTTTTTTTGAAACATGAAATATTATTATAGCATACACACACTTTGAAAATGTCTGGTTTTCCTGAGTTTGCATATACCAACACTTGTGAGGAAGATATTAATACATTTAAAATCAATTGCAATGAAACCAAATATTGCCATTGATGACAGAGGATTTTATAAAAGCAGTTTTGACTTTTGAATCAAGGAAGAAAAGCGTGAATTAATTGTCACAGGGCATCCATGACAGCTAGCATGAGTGTCAACATTAGATCTCGTTGGTATTGGATGTATGTCTGTGTTTAACTGTGGTCCCTGATCTTTGACTTCCAGGTGACACAGGTTCAGGACCGAGCAGCCGCAATGCCAGTCTGGAGCGAGGAGAGCGACAGTCAGACACCTCAGACAGCGAAACCACTGATGTGAGGAAAATAAATCAGCAGCCCTTCGCCAGGGAAGGCAGATATGACCCCAACAGGTGAGTTGTAGCGACAGTATCCATACTAACAATCCCTTTAACTTTCATAGAAGAATGGTATTCTTTAGGTTTAAGATCCTGCTGGGATTAATACACATAGGCATCTTGTTTTTCTTCATAGCTGCTAGTACCTAAACTGCATCGGTGCGAACAGCAGTAGGATGTTTTAATTGGTAACTAAGTGATCGCATAATTACTTGAGGAGCTATATATCAAAGATTGCATATTAAACATATTTTAGGTACTTTATTTGATTGTACATGGCTTTCCTGATTGCTCTTATATTTGTATCCTGTGTTCATGTACAATTGAGAGGTCTTTTAATGTGCATTTTATCTTGTGTACAATATTTTGTGTTTTTATTTTCCCGCCACAATAGTGTTTATTCTATTTTATATTTTAATTTAACTATATAAAACATCATACTGCGTTTTTTAGATTGATCTCAATTTGATTATCCCACACATTTGTTTGGTTTAGCACTCCAGAAATTAGGACTGTGACAGTGTTAAGTCTACAGTAAAAACATTAGATAAACAGACACAACAAGATCACAACATACTATATAATATGATAAAACACATTTGCTCAAATTGAGGCTGACACAGGGTAACAAATAAGTAAAATAGCTAAGAGACCTGTTCTGATTAAGCTGCCACTTGTGCAGTCTGATGGCTCGAGGAATATAGGATGTCGGTTTCTTCAACTAACTGAGACATCTTTTTCTCAAGTTTGTGTGATTTAAAATGTAGATATACCCAGGGGTGCACATAACTTTCTCAGTGAGGTACTCAGATGAGTACCTGGAGTCAGTGGTTGGTACTCCAACTTCTGGCTCCACTCAAAGTATCGCGAACGTCGGCGGGGGTAGGGGGTGCTAGTGCTGGTGTACTCCGTGACCACAGAGCGTGAACGTTGTGATCAGCTGTTTTTGCGCAGTTCTCCAGCACAGAAGGGGGGGGGAGTCTCCCTCCGCAGCCGGTTGGCGTAGTTTTGGCACAATTCCGTTGTACAGACCGACGTTAACAGCAGCCCCGTCTGTGCACACGGAGACCGACTCTGTCGTCCGGTGATCTAACCGCCTTCTGGAAAAGCTTCACAAGTACTTCGGTACGCAAATGCGCGTTGTGACACAAGTGACGGTACGCATTTCAGATTTTTGCCGCGCATGCGTACCTGCGTACCAGTTATGTGCACCCCTGGATATATCAGCCCAATGTTAGGCAAACCTTTTGATGCCCTCATCCTCTCTCCAGGTTCCGACTGCACTTTGAGAAAGAGAGTAAAGAAGAAGTGGAAAAGAGGAAAAAGGTGGCCAGGGAGAAGGTGCTGAAGCAACTCTCAGGGAAAGAGGATGAGATCAGCATCGACGACGTCTTCCCTCCAGAGAAAGGTCTGACTTTTTTTGTTTTTTTATGCTTTTCACATGACAGTCTCAAAATAACTCAGACGGATAAGCAGAGTAGGTTAATGGAGTGGGTCGCTGCTGCTTGACACGCTGAAATTAAATTATTCACTACCAGGTCTTGGTTTCCCACGACGACCGCCCTGGAGTTATGAGATGACACGAGAGAACCTGCTGAAGAGAGAGGAGAAGTCGTACCGAGAACACCTGGATGACCTGCACTCCAGAAACCCCGAGGGCTCTCTCAGCCACTTTGAGCACAACCTGGAGGTAAGTTACACACAACACAAACATTTCCCAAATTGGGATCAATAAAGTACTTCTTATCTCATCTTATCTTACCTTACTGACACACTGTTGAAGGCCTTTGTGTCCATCAAAGTGCCAGAAACTCATTTTCTGTTCTTTATTAGTGTATCTACAGTTTGTTTTGAAAAGCCTTGACATTCAGGTGACCAGATGTGGGGCGTGGTAAATGACACAGCTTAACTTTTTAGTTTAGAAAGTTTCATCATTGTGTTTTAGGCATTCTGAACTAACTCAAATAAAGGTTCAGGAGCATGTACCTGGTAAAACTTACGAGGATCATTTGTGGACTTGCAGGACTTGTACATTGCCAGAAACATGGAGGTTGCATATTTAACTCAACTTTATTTATGACACCTTTCAGACAATAATGCAGCCCAAGTGCTTCACAGAGCCAGATTGAAACATCACAGACTAAGGCGGTGTTTACACGAGAACGAAACGTGTTGTATCTGCTACTTTTCTCTCGCGTATAGCCCGTTCGTTCACACGAGGCCGTAACGGAACCGCGGAAACGGACCCCGCAAACGATAACGGGTCCCAAGGTGGATAGATCTGCATCCGGAACACTCTGGGGGGCCAAAAGGCTCCGTGTGTACGCCCTATACGATCATTTCCTGATAACGATGAAGCCATAGCCCCGCCTCTCCCCACCTCTGCTGCTCACTGCTGTAGCATGGTCAGTAGCTACAGTCAGTAGCTACTGACCATGCTACTGCTACTGCTACTGACCATGCTACAGATGTTAGTGCAAAATCTACAGCTCCTCTACCACAACCATCAGCAACAAGTGGACATGGAGAATTACATGAACTACATGTTGCTGAATCCACCGCGGGGCATAAACAGAAGGGCAACCATGGCAACCATGCTCAGGGGGTCTTCTTCGCTGCTTTTGGTGTATTTTGTGGCAGAAGTACAGCGCCACTTACAGGCCCGGCATATGTACTACAGCGTCTCCAGCGGTCTCGTGTGAACGGACACGTTAAATGAGCCGAATGCGTGTGAACGGAAGACGAATTCGGTCCGTTTGCGGTTGCGCTCCCGTGTAAATGGGGTCTAAGGCAAAATACAAATACAAATAATTAGTATTGTGCGTGCAAGCCTCAAAATTACAACAATAAACAATATAATGTTAGAGTAATTAACAGACACTAGAATAAAGGAAATGTAAGGCCCCAGTTCTGATGATCTTCCTAAAATGTCATCCAAACAGTCAAAATTCACTCCATTCTTTGTATTAAATCACTCAGAAAATCAGGGAGCTCTGACCTTTATTGCCATCTAGATCTAGGTTTTGAAAGCTCAGACTGTCAGCACGTTTTCTGTGAGATCTAAGTTATGTCTGAATCCCGTTAAAAGCCATTAAAACTTAAATGAATGTGTTTTAATTTGAACTGCTCATTACCCAGCACACTCGCTTTGCCAATT